TGCAATCACACCCCATTCCAGCCTCTGCAACTGCTTGCTCCCATCATCCCACTCCTACCCCCCTGATCCTCCTGCCTTCTTTGGGGCTTCACTGGGTCTACCCACTTGATTTGGAGTAATCTCCCCATCTCAAGATCTTAGCTAATCTCACGTTGGCAAAATCCCTGTCCCGTGTCAAGTACCACATTCACGGGCTCCAGGAATTAGGACTCAGACAGCGGGGGAAGTGAGTCAGGAGCAGCACTCAGTATGTCAAACCAAGTCACACCAACAACCCACATGGACTCAATATAAACTGGATTTGGTAAATAATAAAATAATGAATAAATAAACAAACAGGCCTGGCACAATACCTCAGCTGGTTAATCTTCCCCTTGCAAGTGCCAGGATCCCAAATGGGCACCAGTTCCTGTCCCAGCTGCTCCACTTCACATCCAGCTCCCTGCTTATGGCCTGGGAATGCAACAGAGGACAGCCCAAAGCCTTGGAATTTTGCACCCATGTGGAAGACTCAGAAGACTCCTGGCTTCAGATCAGCCCAGTTCCAAACGTTGTGGCCACTTGGGGAGTGAACCAATGGATAGAAGATCTTTATCTCTCCTTTTTTCTGTGAATCTGCCTTCCCAATAAAAATAAACAAAAGAAAGAAAGAAAGAAAGAAAGAAAGAAAGAAAGAAAGAAAGAAAGAAAGAAAGAAAGAAAGAAAGAAAGAAAGAAAGAAAGAAAGAAAGAAAGAAAATAAAAACTGGTGGTTTTAACAAGAAGGAAACCTTTCACTGTGACTCTTTTTGGTCTCAGATCAAAACAGGTTAGGGATCTAACAGGTTCCCAGAGATGCAGCCAGGGCAAGACACACACATGAGCCTGAACCTGCCCTAGACATCTAGGTATCTTAATAAGAAGCCATCAAGCGCCCAGAGGATTCAGTTCAAAAAATAGCTGAGTCACTATGCCCTGCACTGTAATACTGCACACACCACAGAAGACAGGAAGTGTGCAACGTACAGCATTTCGGGGATGTTTGAAAAGAAGATGAAGGATGGTAAGAGTGTTAGGGGAAGGCTTTGTTGAAAGGAATGAGAACAGAACTCAGACACCCAATCAAAACTAGAAGCACATCGTCAAGTGTGAACATTCCACCCCAGTTCTTTCAACAGTAAAGCAGATGTGCAAACGAGAAGCTCAAAATTCTCTTTGGAACTGTGCGCACTCTGCCTTCCTAGGACTTGTCCAGTCCTCTGCAAGTTTCTATAGAAGATCACAAACACCACATTCAAGGGAACTGACTGCATTTGTCACATACTCATGCAACAATCAATCAATAAAATGGAGAACCTTTGGGCTTCTATACTATTAAAAACTAGACAAACTTACAAATATGTTCCAATTGTATCTTTTTAACCTAGTGACCCTTAACTCCAGCTAAAAGTAAGAACTCATTTGACAGGTCAGTGTGGTAGCCCAGCAAGCCAATCCTTCACTCTATGGAGCCAGCAACCCATATGGGCACTGGTTTGTGTCCTGGCTGCTCTATTTCCAATCCTGCTACCTGCTTATGGCCTGGGAAAGCAGCAGAGGATGGTCCAAAACCTTGGGACCATGCACTCATTTGGGAAACACAGAGGAAACTCCACAAGCCTAGATTCATATCAGTTTCACTCTGGCATTTGCAGTCATTTGAAAAATGAATCAATGGATGGAAGACCTTCTCTATATATCTCTTCTTCTCTGTCACTATAAAATCTGCATTAAAAAAAAAAATCCTCAGACCCAGCATGGTGGCCTATCGAATAAAGCCCTCACCTTGAATGTGCTGGGATCCCATATGGACGCCAGTTCTAATCCCGGCAGTCCCGCTTCCCCTCCAGCTCCCTGCTTGTGGCCTGGGAAAGCAGTTGAGGATGGCCCAAAGCCTTGGGACCCTGAACCTATGTGGAAGACCTGGAAGAGCTCCTGGCTCCTGGCTTCAGATCAGCTCAGCTCAGCCATTGCAATCACTTGAGGAGTGAGTCATTAGACAGAAGAACTTCATTTCTGTCTCTCCTCCTCTCTGTATATCTGACTTTGCAATAAAAATTAAAAATCTGTAAAAAAAAAAAAAAAACCTATTTGAGAATACTAACACTCAGACCCCTACCCAGAATAAATTAAAAAAGAACTCTAGGGCCCAGCGTGGTGGCGCAAGTGGTTAAAGGTCCTCACCTTGCACGCCCGGGATCCCATATGGGCACCGGTTCTAATCCCGGCAGCCCTGCTTCCCTTCCAGCTCCCTGCCTGTGGCCCGGGAAAGCAGTTGAGGAAGGCCCAAGGCTTTGGGACCCTGCACCCGCATGGGAGACCTGGAAGAGGCTCCTGGCTTTGGACCGGCATAGTATCGGCCCGTTGCGCTCACTTGGGGAATGAATCATCGGACGGAAGATCTTCCTCTCTGTCTCTCCTCTCTGTATATCCGCCTTTCCAATGAAAAAATAATAGAAATAAATCTTAAAAAAAAAAAAAAAAGAACTCTAGGAATAGGGTGTAATGTTCAGATTTTTAAAGACACCTTACTATTTATTATTATTATTATTATTATGCAGTAAAACGTGTTGTTCCAGATTGCTCTTTAACTTCCAAACCTGATTTTGGTAATGGGCCAAAACTGACTGCAACATACATTGATAGTAAATATATTTAGCTACCAGTACAACATGAATACAGAAAATAGCAAGGAGACTAGAACTGGGTGAGCCCACCCTGCTGGGGCAGGCATAGGACAGGCTTCCGGAGTGGCTTCCAGAATGCAGCCACATCCCAGGCTGGCAGTCCTCTTCACTGGTCACAACTGCAACAGGCTGGCTGAATTCCCACCTGCTCTCCAAGTATCTCATAGGGCATGATCACATTGCGAGACTGATATCATCCTGATGCATTTAAAGAAACAGAAACTTATGATGCAACATTAGAGACAGAAAGGTCAGCATTGACCATGGAGCGCATGTGTCAAAGCTGAGCTTCCTCATATACAGGTGCACACGGAGGATATTGCAGACCATAGGAATCTGCAAAGGACACCCTGTATAACAGAGAAGGGAGAACAGAACAAATCAGTCATTTACCCCAGCCATGTGTGTTGGCAGTGAAAATCTGGGTGAACAGAAGCTCTAAGGTGGACTATGTCAGCCAGTGGATTCTGAAGAGATTTCATCGTGCTTGGAGAACTGTTGAACTCTCAAAACCACTTGAGCAATGCCCTTGGAGCATGCCCCATGTCAGGGTCCCTGGGATGGGTGGGAGGCCGAATGTGGCTTCTCCCTTTATCGCCTCCCTTGCCCCACCCCAAAAACAGAAAAAAAAATTTAAAAAGAGAGAGAGAATATGGAAACAATGGTCTTGCCCACTTTCCTGTAGCCCTTGACCCTTTGTGCCCTAATCAACTATGTACAGATTATCAAAATTAAAAAAAAAAAGTAGGTCAGAATTGAGGTATCAAAATATCCAAGATGCAAAGGCAATCATTCTGCAACATCTGGGAAATCAAAAAATAGTCCAGGCTCTATAGCCCCTTGTCCCTGGGTCTCTTTTCACAGTTCTGAATTAATTTAAAGTGACTTTCTGGACCCAGTGCAGCAGCCTAGCAGCTATAGTCCTCACCTTGCATGTGCTGCAATCCCATATGGGCACCAGTTCATATCCCGACTACTCCACTTCCCATCCAGCTCCCTGCCTGTGACCTGGGAAAACAGTAAAAGGCAGCCCAAAGCTTGGGACCCCACACCCACGTGGGAGACCCAGAAGAAACTCCTGACTCCTGGATTCAGATCTGCTCAGCTTGAGCCGTTGCAGCCACATGGGAAGTAAAGCAGCAGATGGAAGATCTCAATCTCTCTCTCTCTCTTCTTCTTGTCTCTATAAATCTGACTTTCCAACAAAAATAAATAATCTTAAAAAAAAAAAAGTTTTGCAAAAGGTGATTTCATCATTTCCCAAAGGACAACTCTCTACTTGTCCAGCTAGCCACAGGGAAGAAAAATGATGCAACTGGGCAAGCTGTGTCCAGTGCCAACTGAACTTGACTGATCTGCCTGCTGAGCATGCAGCAACGGACAACCTACCTCCTTTTTCTTTTTAAGATTTATTTATTTACTTTAAAGAGTTAAAGAGAAGCAGGGAGAGACAGAGTCCTTCCATCCACTGGTTCACACCCCCAGTGACTACAATGGCAAGAGCTAGGGCCAGGCCCAAGCCAAGTGTCAAGAGCGTCTTCTGAGTCTGCCACCTGAGTGCAGGAGCCCAAACAAGCCACCTGTCTTCCTGAGCACATGAGCAGGGAGCAGCTGGACTGGAAGCAGAGCAGCCAGGACCTGAACTGACACTTACATAGAATGCTTACACTGCAGGTGGTGGTTTTAGCTGCTATGTCACAGTGCCAGCCCTGCTACTCTCTAGAAAAAGTAACTGGCTGGGATCAGGTATTTCCCACAGTGGTTAAGCCACTCCTTGGCACACCTGCAACCTCTATTAGATTGAATTCCGAGCTCCTGACTTCAGCCTGGCCCAACCCAGGCTGTTGTCAGCATTTGGCGAATAAATCTGCAAAAGGAAGATCTCAGTTTATTTGTTTCTCTCTCCCTTTCAGTCCTTTTGTCTTTCAGATAAATAAAAATAAACAAAAATTTCAAAAGCCAAAAGGAAAAAAACCTCTTGATGCCCCTATCCTCTACTACTTCATAACCTAGCACTTACCTGAGAAACATGTTCTGATAATTCAGTGACTTAATACCTGTAGAGTGTCTGGCAATGCTAAAGAAGCACTTGAAAAGCATGTTTCAAAAGCAAAATAAGCTCTCCCTTCAACTTCCAAGCAGATGGACAGTCCGCTTACACCTACTATGAGAACAGGTGCCTAGCCAACTCACAGACAGGGCTGCAGCTGGGTAGAGATCTGCTCCAAGAAACCATGATTCCTTAAGGTCATCTAACTAACAAGTCTTAAGTTAAACAGCTGGAAGAAACAGTACCTCATGAATTTGTCCAGCATGTCTTCCACCCACATGTGCATTCGGAGGGACTGAAATCCGTAGCGCCAAATGAGCTTCAGCATGTTAACAATAAACCAGCTGCTCTCCTCAAAAACCAGAGTGTCTCCATCGTACACGCCCACGAGGCCACCAGACACTGGAATGGCAGAAAGACCTGGAACATGGAAGGGTGGGGCCAGTCAGGAATTTCTATGTTGGTGGAATGAAAGCTTCTAGGGACACTTTCTGGGTCAAGGGCCTTCCCCAGTGATCAGGAGACACATGAATGGGACCCTGCCTTTAGAACAGGGAGATGCACCAGATACTCCTCACACTCTACGGGAGCAGGTTGTCTCCAAGATGGGTCAGATGATCGTGCAGCCACACCAAAATTAGACTGGCTATTTTTAACAGCATCCAAAAACATTTAAAAGTCAGAGGGAAAAGCTACAGTACCGATGGCATTCAGTGAGAACACAAAAACTTCACACATAAACTTAGTGCCAGGAATTGTTCCTAGATTCTGTTTGCCCTCATCAAATACATGGAAACAGAGAGCAGCACCAGGACTAAACTACCACAGGGCTGCTAGAGGAAGGTGCAGAGGAGGGCCAAGGCTGACACTGCATTGAAGTCACCAACAGCATCCCATAGCAGAGGGCCAGGGGAGTCCTAGTCCAACTTCAAGCTAATCTGCCTGGGAAAGCAGCAGAGGATGGCCCACATGCTTGGGACCCTGCCACTGTGTAGGAGACCTGGATAAAGTTCCAGGCTCCTGCGTCGGCCTGACCCAGCAGATGGAAAATCTCTGTCTTTCCATCCCTATCACTCTCTTCTCTACCACTGTGACTTTCAAAATATATCTTTAAAAACGAAAAAGAAAAAGCTGCTGGCAGGGAAGAGGTACACGCTGGAAGCTGCCTGTGCCTTCCGTCTGGTTGCAGCTAACTGGGAAGAGGCCAGAAGGACCCAATGTTCCCCAAAAGGTAAGAACCTGCACAAGCCTGCCAGACTTCCTTGGGGCCCTGCCCAGCTCTGGGGCTGGGCAGGGCAGCAGCCAGAGGTCCCGGGTTCCAAACCCGTGTCTGCACCCACCACTGGAGCACCGACCTTCTGCCTCTAGCACACACTTCCTCAGACGTGCAAGGAGCACTCTACAAGCTGTTGCCCGCTCAAAACATTCTGATTTAAGACTTGATTAACAGCAGCCACCCCCACCCCTTGGCTGTAATTCCAGATAACTTAAGATACAGATAACTAGTGTCCCATTACAGAAGAGCCTGTGCTAACAAGTACTATCGGGAAAGTGCCACCAACAGTCTCCCTGACTTCTCTGTGTGAGATGACTAATGAGGCTGTAAAGTCCCAGCACTTCACCTGATCAAAAGCACCCAGGAAGCTGCTCAGCTCTGCGATCACAATTACATACCCAGGTCTTTGACAAAACGCTTCATGTGTAGATTTAACGGATGGATGACAGAACCTCCCGCCTCGTACTCTTGATTTTCCACGCTCATGGTGGCCAGCCGGCCCCCCACCTCTCCTCTTTCAAACAGGTCCAGCTTCACATCTTTCCCAAACTTCTGCCGCAGATAATAGGCTGCTGAAGTGCCACCGATCCCTCCTCCGATGATGGCTATGGGGCAGAAAAAAACGGAACAGTTTCCCGTCTTACTTGCTCTTAACTTGGCTTGCTTTTCAAAAGGCCACTAACAGAGGGGACCCAAGACCAGGACCAGTAATTTAGGGAAGAGGAGAAGAAACTCCGAGCCCAGGCAGATATGTACCCAAACAAAAAGCTAAGTTCATATTAACTCACAAAATGACAAGATGATATTAATTCAGTTTTGTTGGATTTGTGGTTTTGGTCTGCTTTTTTTTTTTTTTTTTTTTTTTTTGACCAGATGCCCAGATTCTCACAGGTCTTTGAGGAGGTACTGAGTGGTCTGCACACCTTTCTGGCTGCCCAATAACACTTGGGAAGAGCAGAGCTGATCCTTTACGGCATGCATCTTCCATAAAGAGACCGCCATTTTTGCCTGGCTTTGTTCTGTCTCGCTGCAGAGTCAGTGGAGAGTGGTTAAGGATCCCAAAGAACACCGCTTTAATGGGGAAGGGAGGGGGGTCGAAGAGCAAAAGAACCAAGCCGACCGAAAGCAGGAAACGAAAAATTGCTTTGCCAGCTGCAAGCCTAAACAGAGAAACTGTGCAAGCAGGGGCCTCTGCAAGCCAGCCGACCTCAGCAAAGTGGAGATGGGGGAAGGGGGTGCGACCTCAATGGGGAAGAGGGCCGGACCAGCTGTGGGCATACTCCCTGCCCACACCACACTGGTGCACGCCTGAGATGTGCGCCCACGGCTGGACATTCCTGGACCAACCAGGACAACTGGTCTCGCCAAGGTACAGCAAAGGGAGCGTGAGGGCTTTGGCTTCTCGGGAACCCTCGGCTCCCCCAAAGCCACAGGGACGCTGGGTGCCTGCCCACTCCTCAATTGAGCATCTCCTTGAGCCCCAGGAGGGATGGCCTGCGTCCTTAGGCAGACTGAAAGCCGCGGCGTGAGCTGGTGGCGAGCAACGAGTTGCGCGCCAACCCGGCCCACTCGGCCTGTCCTGCGCCGTGGGGCCTGGGCACCCTATGCACCACCCGCCCGGCGCGGGCGCCCTCCCGCGCCCTCCCGCACCGCAGCCAGGTCGCCTACCGATCTTATCTGGTGGGGCCCGCAGTTCGGCGTTCCCAGGGCACCCCCAGCTGCACAGCAGCAGCCATAACCCCAATAGCGATGAGAAGCGCTCGGTGGCGACGCGCCCCATGGTCTGCTAGAGCGCCGCAGTCAGCGCCCAGCTTTCAGCCGTCTTGCCGCCGAGGTGCGTCTGCGCGCTCGGCCAGCCTCGCCTCCACACAGCCACGCCTCCCAGGCTGAAGACACTCCCGGCCCAGGCCAGGCCCGCCTCCAGCCTGTTCCCGGGGGCCGTCCCGCCCAGGCCAGGCCCGCCTCCTGAATACCCTAGGCTCCAGGCCGCGTGCCCCAAAGCCCCGCCCAGACCTGGCGCAGTCCCCTAGCCCAGACCCAAGCTCACCACGACCACCACGGAGTCCCGAGGCCCGGCTTCTTCCCAAGATACCAAAGCTTAAGACCACTCTAGCGGTCCTCAGACCCCATCCATTCTGGGGTCTGCTAGCTTCACTCACGCCCTCTTTTGCCCCTACAATCATATTCTCTCAGAAAATGTCATAGGCAATCACTTGTCCCAAGGGGCCTACAGACAACAAATGCCTAACTCAGAGAATAACTGAGTCCCAAGAGGAGACCAATGGGTAATTCGACTTTCACTTCCTGAAAAAGAGAATGAGGGAGACTGGAGTACGATGGTCCAGGGCAAGTGAGGGGAATAGTTGTGCACCAACCACACAAACACAAGTAGAAACATTCACCAGCGACTATATCAGGCCTCCCTACCAAATCTGCCTCTAGGACAAGTGGATGCTTTTCAAGTTGAAGACAATTGAAAGACAGATTCGAGAAAAGCTCTCTGCTTTCCTCCATTTGCCTAAAAGCAGAACTTGAATTTGCGACATTAAAAGTGTTTCCTCTCCTCTCTGCATGGAAGCACAAAAGTTCATTATATCTTTTCAATAAAACAGAAGGCCATTGGTTTGAACTCAGCTCCTGCACTAGATGCAACAGGTCAAACAAATCACAGTCATGCTGACTGTGAAGTCCATGACACTAAAAAGAAACTGAATTGTTTATCTTCCAACACATCAGGAGAAACAGAGATAGGATATATAACCAATTCTTCAAACAGGCCAAACCAAACCAACTACCCTCACCCCAAAATAAACAAAACACAAGTATATGAGCATAAACAACAGTTAAGTTGGATTTAAAAAAAAAAAAAACTGAACTTGGAGAAAAGGAGCAGAAAATCCAACTCAGGGCTGTGGGGAGCCGTGCAGTTGGGTCGGATGGCATGGGTGTGTGATGAGCACCGCTCCTCAGTTAGCAAAGCTGCGAGGAGTTTCTGGCTGCGAGGCAAGGCCCGGCAGAATGTCTCTGGTCACCTCATTGCTGCCTCACCCCATTGTATGGAACTCAATCACCTCTCTGATGTTTCATAGAATTCTTCTGAGGGTGGTGTTGTTGTTTTTCTGCTAATGTGAAGTGATTCCTGTAACTGGTATGACACCTCAAATTAATCTATCATGTTATGATAAAAACACCTGTAGTAACGTCAGGCTATGACACACAGTTAAAAGTATACAATAATACAATTGAGCCCACTATGTTTCCAAACATCCTGTTATGTGCCCACTTTTGTCCTAAAGTTTGCCCTAGTATAAGTAATGTTTTCCTTAAGAAATGGCTTGATAATATCTTGCAACAGATGGCAATCATGGAGGTACAAAGAGTTTATTTACCATGCACCTCGAACTGTTACAACACATGATATGATGCATTTTAGTTTCTTAGCACAAGAAAGCAAAATATGTGGGGCATCTTCTAAAAGGAAACAAAACAAAACCCCCTCAAAATGGCTTAAATTTCAATCTTATACTGGCACTTATATTTAGGGAAAGAAAAACAATTTATAAAAATTTCTATCTTATATTGGCATTTATATTTAGGGAAAGAAAATAGTTTATATAGATGAAAGGAAGTTTCTTGTAAGAGGCCCTCTGTTTGTAGATCAGCTGAATTGCCTTGATCCCTTTCACTGCCCTTTAACAAAAGAATAAAAAACAATTGAATCAGCATTAGGTGACGGTGACCGTAATTAATGCATGATTTGATTATAAAATTTAACAAAGACTCTATGTTATATGATTTTATAAAATCCTTTCATTTATGATCTTTTAATTCTGTATTCTTAATATTTTAATCAATATTAGTTTGTGTTTAGTAAAAGTTGATTTTGAGTATAAGTAAACTACTTGTCACTATGTAACTGCATGTGCTGCCAACCGTGGAGTTCCTGGCTTCAGCCAGGTGATTGCAGGTTTCAATGAGTAATGGTTTGTTAAGAATGTTTTCTTTGAAATAGGAAAACATTTTTTAGGATTGCTTCTTGCATTTTCATAACCATGATGTAATGAAAAATGAAACAATTAGATGTTGTGCAAAAACTTCTGATGATTTATGTATAAATAAAGAAGGCAACTTTTTGGAGTTGTCCATTATGAGCATCAAGTCATAGTGGTCCGTGTCTTATCCCTTGCTATCATCTCGCTGATCCACGCATCCTTTGCAAGCTCTCAGTCAGCTGGAGCTGGTCTCCGGCACAGGGCCTCACTTTCCACGTGCCAGGATCCCATACGGATGCCCCCAGTTCTAATCCCACAGCTCCACTTCCCATCCAGCTCCCTGCTTGTGGCCTGGGAAGGCAGTGGAGGACGGCCCACAGCCTTGGGACCCTGCACCTGTGTGGGAGACCCAGAGAAAGCTCCTGGCTCCTGGCTTCGGATTAGCTCAATTCCAACCTTTGCAGCTGCTTGGAGAATGAATCAACAGACAGAAGATCTTCCACTTTTTCTCTCCTCCATATATATGTGACTTTCCAATAAAAATAAATATTAAAAAAAAGAAAATCCAACTCAAAAGGAATTTATTCATTGGAAGAATATTTCAATTTCTTCTTCATGACAGGCAAAAGTCTAGGTGCTGAAGAAAAATCAGTGAATAAAGTGAAGTACAGCAACTCCCTTGAATACAACGCTGTCCCAGGAGCAGATGGAACCCCAGTGGAACTGCCTCTGAGAACTGAAAAACTAAATTTATTTAACATTCCTCTTGTTCCACTACAGGTCAGGAGTGCAGAGAAATTCTCCACCTTCTTAGAATGTTTGAGGAACATTTTAAGTATAACTTATTATTTGTAGGTAACAAAGTCTTAATGGCCTTAGACATTAGAAAAGCCATAGAAATGTGTGGTGGGATCTGAGAACAACCCTGACACCCTCTTAAAAGAAAAGGAGGTTGTGTGTACAGAGGAGGAGGGGATCTCAGGGTGGAACAGGAGGATAAGAGCAGGTCTGTATCCCGGAGACTCCCGGAGGCCTCCCACGTGCTTTCGCCACAGAAGCGATGGATACATCATCCAGGATTGTCAGTATGGACACCGAGAACCGTATCCCGACTGCCTAGGAGATCACAGGGAATATGAATGCCCTCAGAGGCTGAGAACTCTGAGGTCACTCATTTCCTGTTGGATTTCCCACACAAGATGGTAGCAGCCCCAAACCCTCTCATAGGGTCTGGTGACATAGGAACTACAGCCAGGAGCCCCGGGTGGTACTCAGAGATAAAAGGGTTGTAAATCTCCTTTTGGACTCAGGAGAGGAGCTTTCTCTGATCCTCATCTAGTCCTAGCCTTGGCTCCCAGGCCTCTCTTACAACGACCATCAGGGTTGCTTGTGAGCCCCAAAATTAGTTCAGATAGACAGAGACTAATAAAGGTCAGCTAGTTGATAATCATGCAGCGTGTACTTTACTGATCAGGCTTCCCATGTGGCTTTTCAGAGAGACAGAGAGAGACATAGACATAGATTTAGAAAGTCTGAAACAGCCAGGGAAAAGGCCAACTAGCCTATAATCACTCAGCCTGTACTTACTGGCCAGGCTCCCTATTTGTTTCTCCTAGACTTTACTAGGTAGGATGTAGAGTTAAATTCTTCCTCACTCACTGAGTTGTTGGGGATTTCCCTGCTCACCTGCCTAAAACTTTTCTATTCTTTAGTTGTTAAATGCAAAGTTCTGTAAAACCATGCTTAATCACTATATGCTGCAAAGTTTAAATTGTGGCTTAATTTTTTCCCCCCAAAAAAGGTTATCAATTTATGACTGTTAATGCTAAACAAGATGTAACTGTATAGAAACTCTGATGCTAAGTTTGTACTCAGCTGTTATATATATGATGGATGTTAATGTTGATGCTTCCACTGTCCTATGCCACTCTGATTTAAGTTAAACGCAAAAACATGTTAGCTTGGTAGAAAAAAAAAGATTTATAGCAGCTGGTTGTGTATATACTAAAATTGAGATGTCAAGAAAGTAGTTACAGGATGTGATTAAGAACTTGCATTTTCTAACATTTTGGTCACTCAATACCATGTTGATTGGCTTCATGATGTGGTTAATTTTGATGTTTCTTCCTGTTGTTGAAAATGTGTAGTGACATCTCATTGGAGGAGATGATATTCTGACAGCTCTACTTTCAGACCAAGGATGGTCTCCCAGTGAAACTGTTGAATTTATCTGGACAATGGGATGCTGGACTCTCCACATGGTCCATATTCTCAATGAAGGAATCATGACAGGATATGATCTATACTATTGTAACAATATGGAGGAATTCAATATGAGGGGAGGGCTTGGGGAGGGGCTGGGGGAATCTCAGAGCCTAAGAAACTGTGTCATAAAATGATATAAAATTTTTAAAAATTGTTATAATGAAACTGACATTCTAGGGGGAGAGGTGGTAATTAGAATAAATAAGTAAGTGATATAGTATATACAGTGGAATGAAAGGAATGGGAAGGGGCTTATGATTTTAACAGGTGATCAGAGTAAGCCTCAGGTGATCCGAGTAAGCCTCACTGAGTAGATGGTATTTGAACACAAGCTTCTAGGAACTAAGGCACTTTAAGGAGCTGCACTAGCTATTAGTTATTTGTTTTTTACTTACTTGTGTGAGTGGGGTTTTTTTTTTCATTCCTTGAAATTCTTCCATCCACTGGTTCACTCCCGTAATGCCACAACATCCAGAGATAAGCTGAGTTGATCCAAAGCCAAAAGCCAGAAATTTCTTCCAGGTCTGCCGCATGGGCATAGTTTCCCAAGGCTTTAAGCCATTCTCCAC